TAAACAGCTGGCAGTTTTTTCTTATGACTCTTCCTAACAATAAAATAGAAAATCTCCATTTTAGTAGAATCTTTCTGCTCTAAGTTCTGCAACATTAGTGAATGATAGTGGCAGAGATATTCACTCTCTGCAGACATGCCCACACTGTAGTTACAACTTGAATTTTACTGGCGGGATTGGAACTCACCATGTAGAGCAGGCTTGGCCTTCAACGAAAAGAGGTGTACCCGCCCCTTCCTCCCAAGTGCTAGGATTGAAGCTGTGTGCCACCAAGCCTGGCACACTTTAGATGAAGCATTTCATATAAAACACGTTGGGGATGTTACAACCTACAGAAAAGACGTGTTTAATCCCATCATTTTGAGTGCACATGGATGCCATTGCTTGGCCAGTTCTATTCAAAGACACATCACGAACATTTTCTGGATATATCAAAGTGTACTTTCCCCTATTTTAGGAAAACTTAGCAGTACCAAGATATAAAGATTATAGAAAAATTACTTTCCTAATCATCTCTTGTAGAATTTTCTACTAGTTTTTAGGTTATGCTTAACCCTTCACCAACAATGTAGTCATCTTTAAAAAGAGAACAAAGGGGAAATAAATTGAAAAGGAATGGTGTCACAAAAGCTTGCTTGGCCACTCTATCAGGCAACTTCTGAGCTCTTATAGGTTTTTAGTACCTATAAACTTATGTGGCTTATTTTCTATGTCAGTATCCTCTTGCCTATTCTCCCTCTTTAGAGATCACATTATTAGTCTTTGTTTCTTCCACAGCATCTTTCTAGCACCTTCACATGGTAGGCACTCACTACTTGAAGCAAATTTATGACAAGCTAGAAATACAGACCATCTGAGACAAATAGGACAGGGTCACAATTAAGCCTGCAAACTTCACATTTACCTAAAAGGCTGGCAGAAATGTAGACACTGACCTTGACTACCACTCTCCTTTGAAGTCTATTAGCTTTGATACTAGATGGTTTCCCTCTAGCTCTGCTATTCCTTCTACTAAAGACTCCTTCTTCCCACATACCTCTGTTCTCCAAGGCTGAGGAAAAGCTGAGCCTAGATTATGGACTAGATCTTTCAGGAATGCAGAGAACAGGAAAAGGGTCTGGTGACATTATTCTGAAGACAGCAGAAGTGCCATTTCTGTCTATACCTGACCCATCAAATGACAGTTTTGTCAAAAAGCCGTTTTCCAGGCCACACCCTCATCAGAAGTTCATTGTTTCACGTGCACTGACTAGGCTTCTGATTGGCTGTTATCACCTCCCCCTCCCCCACCACTTATGAGTGGCCTACTGCTCTTCAAAGACTGGCTCAGTTTCAGGTTTTCATGTCTGGACATATGAGGCAGTTGGAGAGACTGAAATAACCCCATAGTTTACACAACTCTTTCCCTGACCACGTGGAGGCTGACTGAAATTAGGCCACAGTTGATAGGTGACTATCATTAAAGGAAGAATCTCTTAGGCAAGCACCAATTTTAGTCAATATGGTAGTTTCACCATATTCTTGGCTTAGTTGCACAAACTTTGTTACCACTGATCAACTTTGGTCTGAAAATATCAATGGAAAAATTACATACTCTTTATTTTGAAATTATAGTGCTCAGTAGCATAATTAAATTTCATACTGTCCTGTCTGGGACACAAATTATTGTTCTGTACAGTGTATTGCCACAATTGTTCCATCTTATTACTGTTGTCATTAATTTCTTATTGTACTTCATTAAAAAAAAAAACTTTGTCATAGATGTATAGGGACAAGCAGTATGCTCAGCATTTGGTTCTATCTATGGTTTCAGGACACCATCCTGGCTGCTATGATGTTTCATAGCAGTCACAGAGACCTAACTAAGACATTTAAAAGATATTTAAAACTTAAAAAAACAAAACAAAACAAAACAAAAAAAACCCAGGGAAACAAAAATCTAACTGAAAAGTCTGTATGTGAATATTCACCAAGTCTATTCCAGTGATTAAATTACTGTGTAAATGTAAAAACACACGTTTTAAGGAAGAAAAAAGTTTAATTATGCTTATGGTACTGAACCTAGTCCTAGGTGAATTCGATTAAACAGACCTTTCAGTCAGTGAATGTCATGGCTTCTTTTCTCATTTTACTATACAAAGAGGCTTCAGTATTGACTTTTGCTTTAAAGATAAGATTCTGAGGTTTGAGGTCAGTTTTTGTTAACATTTACCCTTTCACTATCGTTTTAATAACTTAAAAAGGAAAAGCTGTGCCTTCTGGAAAAACAGTATTGTTGTTCCTTCCACCACTATTTCCTTGAGATGGATGCTAAACCACAGAAAAAATTTATAGGTATATTAAAAAATTCTTGAGTCCAAAAGGGCTCTTGGATCTACTTCCAATAAAGCTTCATTTTCTGAACTTTCTTACATTTATTTAGTATGCAGCACAAGCCAGGCACTGAGCTAAAATGTCATCTCTGTGAATCTCTATACACCCAGTGCTATCTCTTTAAATCTTCAAACATTAATACTTAAAAGTCAATGTGGGAGAGCTGAGTTGGAATCCAACCCCTATCAGAGGTGGCACTGAGAAAATTTACTATGAAGCTGTCAATAAGGACTTGACAGAAAAGCTTGACACAAAACTCCACTACACTGACTTGTGCCACTGTGAAATTCAGTTTCTACAAAGATAGACATCCAGTAAATAAACTCTTGTAAGCCTTTGAGAGTAGTTGTAAGATGAATCACTATAGGTTTTTTTGTCGTTGTTGTTTGTTCTTCTTTTTTTTTTTGTTGTTGTTGATACAGGGTTTCTTTGTGTAGCCGTGGCTGTCCTGGAACTCACTCTGTAGACTAGGCTGCCCTTGAACGCACAGAGATCCACCTGCTTCTGCCTTGTGAGTGCTGGGATTAAACATGTGCACAATCACCACCCACCTTAAAAAATTATAGTTTTGTATTTTAAGACAGTGTTTCATGTAGCTGAGATAAGCCTTGAACTCCAGACTGTCCTGGCTCCCACTCATCCCCCAGTGTGTGAATTCAGATATGGACCACCATACCCCAGCCTCCTTTCCAGGCAGTCTTGCTATACTGTTCATGCTAGTCTATCTAGGATTCAAGATTCTCCTGCCTCAGCCTCCCTAGTGTGTTGGGATTATGGGCATGCATTACTCACTTCTGGCTTCAATAAAATTTTGTGAACCAAAAGGGGTATTGTTCATTCATGTGACTGAAAATAAGGCTCAAGAGACTCTACACAAGAAATACTACTACTTTCAAGTTAGTTTCAAACTTACCAGGTACTCAAGAATGATCCTATCTTCCCAATGTTGGGATTACAGTGTGGGGCACCATATCTGCCTCACGTACACATTTCAATAATTTTTTTCAGTATGTGCCATATTTCATGTTTTTCCTAAATGAATATTCTTAGAAATACATGTACACATATGGCAAATAGATAAAAATGCCTTCTGACCACCCACCTTCACCTGAGGGGGGAGTAGCCTTGCCAGGCCACAGAGGAGGACAATGCAGCCAGTCCTGATGAGACTTGATAAGCTAGGGTCAGGTGGAAGGGGAGGAGGACCTCCCCTATCAGTGGACTTGGAGAGGGGCTTGGTAGGAGATGAGAGAGGGAGGGTGGGACTGGGAGGGAATGAAGGAGGGGGCTACAACGTAAATAAATTATAATTAATATTTAAAAAAAATGCCTTCTGAAAAGTAGAAATAATATGACTGTTCAAAAGCTCTTCACTTTTGTCCACACCAAATTTTCTACTCTCTTCTCCTCAAACACAGATAGGGGACAAGTGCTTATAAGTATGTGTACTAAGAGTGTGGTTCCTGGAGAAGCTAGAAGGCTATGGATTCCCTGGAACTAGAGATACAGATGGCTGTAAGAAGCAATGTGGATGCTGGGAACTGAACCCAGGTATTCTGCAAGAATAGCAAGTGCTTTTAACTGCTGAGCTATTACTCTAGACCTGTTATACGTATAATTGTAAAGGTCCTTTGGTGGTGTGTAACTCAGTGTTAGAGTGTTGAACATGTACAAGTCCTGGATTCAACCTAGCAAAAAGGTGTCTCATTTCTTCAAATACTGAAATAACTTGCTTTGCTGACTCACATGGCTATAGTGCTAACAAAGACTGGTTTTGCTTTTAGTTCAGTAAGCTTCAAAATTAAGGCCAAATCAAATAGAATGATAATTTTCTAGTATGGAGTAATCTATGCCCAGAGTCTCCTAGACCCTGAAGACACAGGCTACAAGCATATACAGAAAGCCTAGATACGTTGTAAGTACTCTTCAAGACACTTAATTTACCCAAATATAAATCAAAGAACTAAGATGTAAGTTCAGTTCAGATGAACTCTAGAGCTTTTTTGCTAATATATTTGTATTATATCAGTTACTGAGATAATTAAAGATTCAATACTCTTTATGAGCCAGTCTGTGTTCACATTATCTCAAGCTGGGAGTGAAAGCACATTTCTGTAATCTTCAGACTTGAGAGACTGAGGCAGGAGAGGAGAGTGTGAGGCTAGCCTGAGCTATATATCAAGTTCCTGTCTTAAAGAAACAAAACAAAACAAAAAAAAAACCAGCAAAAAATAAAACAACATTGTCTCAATTCATCATTACAACAATCCTATTTAAAAATCTCCAGCTGTGAAAGAATTTCATTAAAGTTAAAAAAAATCCAGATATGTCAAGTTAGAATATTTTAAAATAATTTAAAGCCATTTTGCTAGCCATGCTACAATCTATTTCTCACCCCTTTGGACATTATTATGTCCTTCCACTTGTAGGCACTTGAATTGCCAACACCAATTAAGCAGACTTTTTAACCCTTTGACCATGTTTCTGTTTGCTTGAATGTATTTGCTCTTACATTTTTGCTATTTAAGGATGAAGTTGGGGTAAGTATGACCAAGTAGGATTTATTATGGACAAATGGTAGAAAACAGTGTTAGTGCCATCCATAGATAAGTCTCTTGAGTCACATGTAAAGAGACTGTTAATAAAAATTTGCTTTATTTTTCTGTGGAGTCAAGTGCTAGCTATTAATTACAGTTAGACTTCTTTTCCATTCTTTTCAAATGTTATGAGAACAGTTAGCATCACCTTATCAATAACCAAATAAACTAGGTTCCAATGTTTCTGTCCACATTTGGATTGTTCAGGTGATCAGGAACTCTCTTACTTGATTCCTTTAGCTTTGAGTTCTTGCTGATATCTATATAAAGAAAATAGAGAGATGACTTATTACCAATAACAGGTAAAAAGAAAATGGGAAGTACTTTTTTCCCATTGTTAAATGGCTACATAACTATAAATATAGTCTTCCAAGGAACAGAAGGAAAAATGAGACATCCAAAGGATTCATTTGATTCTGCTATGTTTCAGATCCTAACTGTTAAAATTTTAACCACTTATATAAGTTTGAGCATGCACACACACACACACACACACACACACACACACACACACACATTAATCTCATGTGTGGTGTCCAATCAAAGAGCTCTCACACACTAGGCAAGCACTGAACCTTTGAGCCATTTCCACGGACCTATTTTCATTCTTTATTTTAAAAAATAATTATTTGTGTGTGTGTATGCATGTGAGCATGTGCAGGCTTCTGCAGAGAACAGCAATAACAACAAAAACATTCTAAATCTCCTGGGGCTTGGTGTTACAGGTGGTTGTGAACCAGAGGATGTAGGTGCTGGGAATCAAATTTCAGTCCTCAGCAAGAGCTGTTGGCACTCCTAACAGCTGTGTCATCCCTCCAGGCCTCTAGTTCCATCTTGAAAGACCCATGACTAACACGAATGTTTGTATAAAATTGGCAAAATGTGATCAACTGCAATTTTTCAGTCTATACTCACAAAGCATCTAAGAAAAGAAAAATCAAGTGGGAATGGGTTCCCGCATGATTACTAGAAATAATATACGTTCTCCCACCAATAGACTGATGGGTTACAAACACAAGTTTGCTTAAGCTAGGTAATGCTTTCTTAATTCTCACTAATCTAAAAAAGAGTCAACTGTAGAGCCAAAGTCTTTGTTCTATATAATCCTTTAGACTTCATTAACTTTTTCTTTCAGTTTATATTTAATCATATAAAAATATGAAGCTCACCATACTTCAAAGATTTCTTGAAAAATATTGACTTTAAACATTTGATCATATTACAATTATTTGTCTCCCAAATATTAACTTTTTGTATATGAGTAGTATATTCTTGTATGCTTGTGTGCCTATCTGTATGGCAGTGACAGTTTTTTTTTTTCAGTTGCTTTCCACCTTTTATTTGTTTGTTTTCCCAAGACAGGTTTTCTCGGTGTAGCCTTGGCTGTCCTGGATTCACTTTTTGTAGACTAGGCTGGCCTCAAACTCACAGAGCTCTGCCTACCTGTGCCTCTCCAAGCACTGTGATTACAGGCGTGAGCCACTACATCTGGCACTTTCCACCTTTTTTTCAGTCTGGGTCTCTCACTGAACCTGAAGCTCACCAATTTGGGAAGTCTGACTGTCCACTGAGCTACAGGAATTTCTCCTGTCTCTTCCTCTTCAGCACTAGAATTTCAGGTAGGCACCACCATGCCTAGCAACCCTGGCCCCCTACCCACCCTTCTTAAATGTACTACTCTTAACTGCTGAACTACCTTCTCAGGCCCAAATGTTAACTACTGAGTAAACAGTTTAAAAAACGTCCAGTGTTCATGGAACAATTTTCAATGAAACCAGTGACTTTACTCTCAATGTCATTTTCAATACTATACCCTATACATTCAAAGCTCACTTATTATATATAGTTGAAAGCAAGTAAAAAAAGGATGATGCTAGAAATTACTTAGTACATCATGAGTTTTATATGTTGTGGTGGTGGTTTGAGAATTGCTACCCATAGGCTCATGAATTTGAACATTTGGTCTACAGTGGTGGTGCTGTTTGAGAGGTTATAGAACCTTTAAGAGGTGGGTGTTATAAAAATGATTATTATTTAATAGATTCATATGATTATTAATGCAGAGGTTATTATTTAACCCACTATTACAGAAATAAAAAGACAGATAGCTGTTAGATTTTTAATATGCCTTAAAACATACTGGGGCTGGGCAGATCTTAACCCCCTAAGCTACGCTGCTACCTCACACATCCCATCCAAAGTTTACCTAAATACATGCATATGCTTGTATTTGGGCTGCTTCTCTCCAACCTGCCAAACCTTACAGCAAGGTCGTCTCGATCGTGTGTTTCTTGTTTACGTTAACGTGAGCTGCTCCTTTCTCCTTCCTTCTCTCCTGTATTTCTCTCTCCCATGGTCCTTCTGTTCTTCAAGCCTTTGAACCTTAGCTTCGCCTACCTCTCTTTTGCCTAGCCCAGGTATAGGCAATTTCATTGCACAATCAGGGATCTTTTGGGGGCAAGGTTACATACATAGCATCACTTGGTATACGTGAGTATTTGCTTGTAGAACGGTAAAGATCTCTGGGGACAAGCATTTAACACTTGAATACATAGTAGCTCCATATCAACTATGTCAGTGGGGCTTTGTTGAAGAAAGTACTGTCACTGAGGGCTGTCTGTGAGATTTCATAGTCATGCTCTACAGTTCCTGTCTCTCTCTCTTTCTCTGCTTCCTATATGTGAATGGAAATGTTATCAACCAGCTTCCTGCTGCTGCAGCTAAGCTTTTCCTATTGCCATGCTTTTCCCACCATGATGGATTCTGCTCCTCTGGAACCATAAGCCAAAAGCGACTTCCTTCTCCAAGTCGCTTTTGGTCATGGTATTTTATCACAGCAACAGAAAGTTAGAGAGAGAAAGAGAGAGAGAGAGTTGTCAGAGAGAGAAAGAGAGAAAGAGAGAGACAGGCAGGCAGGAAGGCAGGCAGAGACATTATGAAAAATGAGAACCCATTTAGACAATAAACTGTTGGATCTAAAATCTAGATAACGTAAGCTTAGCTGCTTTTAACTTATTTGTTAAAATAAGTTAATACTTTTAACTTTAATAGAAATGATAATTTCTATACCATACACAATTTTGTCAATATTACATGTGAAACACACACAGACAGACGCAGAGAGAGAGAGAGAGAGAGAGAGAAAATCATCTACGTAGCTTCTGAATCAGTTCTAAAACCATGTTGGTAGTGGGCTTACCTCCAAATACGAATCAGCTGAGAAGCTCCTGCTGACCCCACAAAAAAATTAACAGCGAACAAACTCCAATTTTTTGGTATAATTACAAGTGAGTACCTTGACCAAATAAACCCTGTTGAAACAAAGCATTTTTAAAGGCACAGATTCTTCAGTATTGTGTATTACATAAACATTCCCATAATTTTCAGCATTATGTAAAATTCTCAGTTCTTACATCAATGCGAGACTTTGCTAGGAACCAGTACATATTAACTATACCATCTTCCCACTTATAAAAGTGTGCTCATTGCAAAAGCTTGAAAAGTAAAATCTCAAGCAGATGCTTATCCCCAGCAACTCTCCTGCCTACGTTATCCACAATGCAGTGTTTCCCTAAAGATGGGCACTGTGTGAGTAAATGTGTATGCTGATGTTTTCAAAATAAAACCATTAAATGAACATAAAACCAAAGAGAGTTTTATTGTATGTGGTTAATTTCTGTTGTGAGACTAGTTTTTAAGCTGAGCCATCAGCTGGGTGTGGTGGTGCAGGCTTCTAATTCCAGCCATCAGGGAGGCAGAGGCAGGCAGAACTCTCTGAGTTCAAGGCCAGCCTGGTCTACAAAGAGAGTAGAGGAGAGCCAAGGCTACACAGAGAAGCACTGACTCAGAAAAAACAAAAAAGAAAGAAAAGAAAAAGGCTGAGCCATTTCTTTAGCTACTATGTAGTCACTGTATAGTAATCTCTTTCAGGATAACCATCTTGAAAGGAACTTTAAGATTTGGGATGTTCCTTTTGTCTGGAAGGAAACATGGTGGGGGGGCTGATTTGATTAAAACATATTATGTACATGTATGAAATTCTCAATAAAAATAAATTTTAAAAGGACTCAGGATGATCTGAAGAGAAGCTAGTTAAAACTCAAGAAGTAAATTCAAAAGTATCAGGCAGTTCCCAAAACTCTAAGAGGCACTGACCCAGAGCACTCAGTCCCGCTCTTAAAGCTAATGTAAATAGTAAAAATTGCTGAGAGAGACTCTCAGACAAGCCAAGCTGCCTGAAAGACATTCAGACTAACTGAGCTTCTTAAAAGAAACACTTTCTAACCTGTCAAGCTGCCTGCGGGTTGTGCAGTGGGTTCCACGTTTTGCGGGCCATCACCCATGCTAGGGTAGGCTTTCAGTAATGCAGCTATCTGCATCATTTCTGGTCCTCACTCCTACTTCCACAAGTAATGCCAAGAAACTCATTGGTTCACTAAGCTGAATTTTGGTGGTATCAACTTGTCTTTGTAGTAAGTATACATTTTCTCACATCTCCTCAGAAATAGGGTCATACAACAATGGAATATCCGTGTTTAATTTACCTGTAGCCATCAGCACAGTAGATTGAGCTGTGCTGAGTTTCTCTGCAGGTCTGGTCATGTCAGCTAATCCAGCAATCACCAATCCCTGAAAATATGCATTAGGACACAGGCAGAGCATCAGGAGTGAGACATAATCATTTTCAATTTTAAATAAAACAAAGTATTTGTGAATTTTCACATGAAAGCAATAATCATAATAATGTCAATAACATTTAGAAAATTGAGAGAAATACAAAAAAGGTACAACAAATTCAGGAGTGCTTTCTCCTTTTATGCTTTCTGTCAATATTCTTTGTTTTTTAAAGAAGTACAAAAAGTTTACTTACAATTTTAGTTTATTAGATGACGTTCCCTTATTTTTTTATTTTTAGAAGTGTTCTTATTTTGTGAACATGTATGTGCCATAGTGCACATGCAGAGGTCACAGGCCAACTTGTGGGAGTCAGTTCTCTCCTTGTACCAAGTGGGTTCCAGAAACTGAACTTAGGCATGGACAAAGATGCCTTTACCTACTGAGCTCTTATTGGCCCTAGATGGTTTTTCTTTAATTTAAAGCACACATGGCCATATCTTCCCTGTTGTCTTTAAAAAAAAAAAAAGATTTATTTTATTTTTTATATGTATGATCATTTTGCCTGCATGTACACAGTTGTACTATCTGTGTGTACTGCCTGTGGAAGTACATTTCAGGGCATTGGGACCCCTGAAACTGGAGTTGCAACTGGCATCATACAGATGCTGGGAAATGAATCTAGGTATCTTTAAGGGCAGCAGGTGCTCTAATCCACTGAGCCATCTCTTCAGCTTCACTCCTACTCCTGTTGTACTTTCAGCATCTTTTATAGAATCACCCCACACAAATTCTAAAGTCAGCATCACTCAGAAAGTTTGGTAATAAGTGGGGCCTCTTAGTGTAGGCCTGAAATCCAAGGCATTTGGGAGGCTAAGGGAAGGGAAATCACAAATCAAAGGCCTTTTCAAAGGTCAGCATAGGTACCTTAGTGAGGTCCTATTCCAAAATAAAAAGTTAAAAAAAGGACTGAGGATCAAAAATTCAAGGCCAATCTGGGAAGTTTAGTGAGAAAATATCTCAAAACAAAGTGAAAAAGTGGATGTAACTCCACAACAGAGAACTTGCGCCATCCATACATGAGGCTGAGTTTAATTCTTAGTACCAGAAACAAAACCAAAATCAAACAAAAATAAAAACCCAAACCAAAGCATCTGGTAACTTGAATATTACACCCAAATATGTAACTTCCTCTCTTCATTTTTTAGTTTATGTATTGACTAACACAGAGCATGAAAACTGCTGAGAAAGTTGAAAGCTAGTACTGTGGAGCTAAGAGTTAGTGTGGGAAAAAGCTTTATTTAAGGACTGGCAGTTTGGAAGACGGGAAGCTTTTGTGCTGCTTCCTTGCATGCCACTTCCAAAATTATTGGGAATTAACTTTTAATTTGCATAAGAGTTAGCATGTTAGGCTGGGGATACATATCAGTGCTAGTACTCCACCTGCCTGGCATGGCTCCGGGATCAACTACGTCTGTTTAAGGATCTTCAGGAGGTTTAAGGTCCATTATGATGTTACAGCCAGAGGAGAAAAAAATAAAAATACAGGGAGACAAATGCTATAGATGATAAGGACTCTACCCTGCATGTATTAATCTTGTAACTGTTCCCTGAGCTTCCTTCTAAAACCACCCTTCCCTTTTTAAATTATTCTCTATGTAGAATGAGGTGCCTTAGAACTTAATCTGACGGCCTATCTTTAGAGTGCTAGTATTAAAGTGTTTCCTACCACACCCATGCTAAAAGCCTTTTCTTATACCTTATTCCCAACAATTTTTGGGGAGTCCGAGGCAGTAGCACAAAAGCTTCCCCTGTCTTTCAAACTGCCAGTCCTTGAATAAACCTCATTTCTTTTCCACCAACTCTGAGCTCCACAGTACTGGCTTTCAAGCTGCAAGCAGCCAGACTTATGCCCAGTAACACAATGGATATTATTCAGCTACAAAACAAGCAAATTCTAATATGCAGTAACCTGGAGGACACGGACCAGCAATAAACATGATTCTGTGGGACTGGAGAGATGTTTCAGCAGTAAAGAGTGCTTGCTGCTCCTGCAGAGGGCTACAGCCAGCTCTTAGCACGCATGTTGGGCAGCTCACAAACACCTCTATCTCCAGCTTCAGAGAATCTGACACCTGCTTTTGGCCTCCTCAGATAACAGTAACATGTGCAAATACACACATTACACAAACTGACATAAAAATATTGTATAATTCTACTTGCATGAGCTACCTACAACAGTCAAATTCACAGGGACAAGCAGTGAGCAGCATGGTATTTTAAGAGAAAGAAGCAGTTGGTTGGGAGTGTGTAATGGTCCTAGCATCTCTTAAGATATAAAGTGCTCACACTGTCTGTATGATAATGCACTGAGCATTACTGGGATGTATATTTAAAATACAAAAGCGAAACTGGTTAAGACAGTAATTTTATAACTAAAAAACAAAAACAAAAACAAAAACCTATACAGACCTATAACAGATAAGGAGATTGAATCACTTACAAAACAATTTCCAGCTAAAAATGTCCACGCCCTGATGGATGCACTATTTTTTTTTTTGTAAAATATGAAGTCAATAAGTATTTTCTTCCAATATTTAGCTTGTCTTTTTATCAAATACGTATGAGTCTTTACAGAGTAAAAAAGTTTACAGAATAGCAGTTTTCTAACTTAGAAGATACTAGATTCACCTCAGGAGGTTATAAAGACACGGCATATTAGGCTCTATCCTTCGAGTTTTTTTAGATTGAGTAGATCCATGATGGGGCCTGAAGATCTGCATTTGTAAAAAGTTCCAAATAGATCCTTTTCAGCATAAATTCAATGATTTACTACAAAAAGCCACTAGAATGAATATATATCAAACACACATATATGTCATATATACATCATACATATATCTGGTGTAGAGTAAAAGTATTAATCTTGGAGACAGAAGTCTCTGTCATTTACACCGAATGCTTTTACGTAATGTATGTATTAGGCCTAATCGTATACATTTTAGGCTGGCCTCAAATTCTATACATAGCCAGTGAATACACTTAAACCTTCCTATCTTCCTATCTCTGCCATTCAAGTACTGGGATAACAGGTGTACCACCACGTGTGGCTCTCTATGTTTTGTTAAGAAATTTAAGCTGAGTGGTGGTGGCAGATGCCTTTAATCTTAGCACTCGGAAGACAGTGGCAGGCGGATCTCTGTGAGTTTGGGGCCAGCGTGGTCTGTAAAGTGAGTTCTAGGAAAACCAAAAAAGAAACAAACATGCATCCATATGCTCTTTCTAATAAACTAAAGAGTTCAGATAAATGTAGATAATATATTATTCATATAATTTATTTCTAGTTAGTAAATTTCTATTAAGGAATTAGTTATTACTACTGTTAAAACATAAGACTTACCCATTTCATTATTGGAGCCCAGAAAAAAACTGTTTTGGGACCTGAAAATAAAAGAAAGGAACAAAATCAGAAACAGTCCAATATATTATATTTATCAGCTAACATCAAACTCTACTCTGCTTTCTGTACAATTTGTATTAACATTTAGAAAGGTACAAAAACATTGTAGTATCAACCTTCTGATATCATTGCCAACTATTTCTATCACCAATTAATTACAATTTATTCCCTTTGTATCTCCGCTGTGGCCCCCCTCTCGTCTCCTCCTAATCCCACCCACCTTCCCTCTTCTCCCCCTATGCCCTTTCCCTAGTCCACTGATAGGGAAGTCCTCCTCCCCTTCTATCTGACCCTAGCCTATCAGATCTCATCAGGGCTGGCTGCATCATCTTCCTCCATGGTCTGGCAAGACTGCACTCACCAGGGGGAAGTGAATGAACAAAGAGCTGGACACTGAGTTCATGTCAGAGACCGCCCCTGATACCTTTACTAGGGAACCTACTTGGAAACTGAGCAGCCTATGGGCTTCCTCTGAGCAGGGGGTCAGGAACCCTCCCTGCTCCCAAACTGTTTCTATTTATCACATTAAAAATAAGCTAGGATGAGCCAGGTGTTGTGGGAAAGGCTTTTAATCTCAGCACTCAGGAGCCAGAGGCATGCTGATCTCTGGGTTTGAGGCTAAATAGGGCCACAGAGCTAGTTCCAGGACAGCCACAGCTATACAGATAAACCCTGTCTCAAAACATCAAACAACAAAAAGATAAGGTGAGGCTGGAGGATAGCAGCTAAGAACTCATACTGCTTTTGCAGAGGACCTGAGTTCAGTTCTGAGCACCAATGTCAAGTGCCTCACAACCACCCGCAACTCCAGTTTCAGGAGATCTGATACCCTCTTCTGACCTTTGCAGGAACTCTACTCTTGTATGAATACCCCACATGGACATTAACAAATATACATAAATAAAAATAAATCTTTAAAAAAAACCATGCTAATGGACATGGTTCTGGAAATCTTTCCCAGTGCTTTGCTTTGAACAGAAACTTAATTTTAGTTTAGTTGCAGACAATCTTTAGAGAATATTGATAAATTATAAAATTTTAGTAACATAAGCTTTAGTAATGTTCATTCATTTTTATTAATAACTGTAGCTATAAATACTTGAACATATGTACCTATTAAGAATTCTTGTAGCCGGGTGTGGTGGCACACACCTTTAGTCCCAGTCTTCAGGGAGGGAAAAGCAGGTGGATCTCTGTGAGCTACAGGCCAGCCTGGTCTACAAAGTGAGTCCAGGATACCCAAGGCTACATAGAGAAACCCTATCTTGAAGGGAGAAAAAAAAAAAAAAAGAGTTTTTGCAAGAATTCTGTATATTCTTTTATTACTTAATATAGTTCAACATAAACATATATTTAACATGTTTTTGTTTGTTTGTTTTGTTTTTTTGAGACAGGGTTTCTTTGTGTAGTTCTGGCTGTCCTGGAACTCACTCTGTAAACCAGGCTCGCATCAAACTCACTGAGATCCACCTGCCACTGCCTCCCCACTGCTGGGATTAAAGGCTTGTGCCACCACCACCTTGGCTTTAATGTCTGCCTTTTGATACAGCATCTCAAAGTTCCTTAGTAGCAAGGTCCTTGTTTTAGTCAGTCTGGTACTTACCTGCTTTATTTAAATAAATATCTGAAGTATTTAAAATGAATTTTGACCTGGGCGAGGTGGCTCATACCCATAATCTTACCACGTGGAAGACTGAGGGAGAGTATTGCTGTGAGTTCATGGCCAGCCTGGGCTACATGGTAAGTTTGAGAAGTTGTAGGATGCATTCAAGTCACACATCTGGTGAGCAGCAGTTAAGTAGGAGGTGAGCCTCTCTTTTAACTAGTGCCTGAATGAGCTCCACAGCTCTTTTGACCTTCAGAGGAGACAGTGAGGTGAGATGACAAATTTTTTTCCTGGGGAATTTAAAATGTAAGCTTACCAAGTTTAGCACATACCAGAATACTTAATACTTAATGTCATATATGTTCTTTCTTATACATGGGAATAATAAAATACATTTCCTTTTTTTCTTTCCTTTCTCTTTTTCTGTTTTTCTTCCTTCCTTTCTCCTTTCTTTCCTTCCTTTCTTCCTTTCTTTCTTCCTTCCTTTCTTTCTTTCTTTCTTTCTTTCTTTCTTTCTTTCTCCTTCCTTCTCTTTCTTTCTTTCTTTCTTTTCCTCTTTCTTTCTTTTCTTCTTTCTTTCTTTCTTTCTTTCTTTCTTTCTTTCTTTCTTTCTTTCGCATTCTAATTAGACTATAACTCAGGCTGGCCTAGAAATAGTATGAGATTCTACAGGCATGTCCCACCATTCCTAGAATACTTATTTCATTATGTAAACATTATGCAATTTAATATAAAAATAGTGATGGAAAGTTGAAAAATCTGATTTATGCCCATGTCTCTTACTACTGCTGTAAGACTCTTTAATTTTCAAGCATGATTTTTTGAGTAAGGGTCTTACTAAGTAGAGCTGGCTAGCCTGGAATTTGTTGTATAGATTAGGCTAACCTTGAACTCACAGAGATCCATTAGATCCTTTGAAGTTACAGGCAGTTGTGAACTGCCTGATATAGGTGCTAGGAACAGATTTCAGGTCCTCTGGAAGAGCAGATGTGCTCTTAAAAAATGAACCACCTTCCCAGTACTCAGTAATTTATTATCAAACATTCTGACAATCCAATCCAAGGATATATGAATTTGCTACTTACATGCTGAGGAATGAAGGTAAAAAAAAATTCAAAATCTCTTCCTGTAATAAAACCGCCATATTTCTGTAAGTATGTATGTACAGTAAAATAATGCAATTTATAATATACAATAGTAAGGTGCTGCAGGCAGAATTTGCTGGCACTGTGTATTGCAACTGCATGCCCAGGACCAAGTGTGTATTTTGTGCACAGAACTGAGGTGGCAGTTAAGCTGTGTACTATAACAAGGATAAGTGCTATCGAAACACTTTAGATGCATTATGTATTTGATTTGATTTGATTTGATTTGTATGAGTGTTTTGCTCACATGTATGTCTGCGAGCACGTGTGTATGTATGTCTCACTTGTGTGCCTGGTGCCAGAGGAGGTCAGAAGGGGGTGTTGGATCTCCTAGATCTGGAATTTCAAACATTTGTGAGCCACTGTCTGGGTGCTGGGAATCTAAACTGGGTCCTCTGGAAGCAGCCAGTGCTCTTAACTGCTAAGGCACTTCTCCAACCCCTATGTATTTGATTTTGAGTTAAGTTTTGGTTGTTATGTGTTCAGAAACTTTTACTGTTGACAAAGTTTCTACTAGCCCCACATTCAGTTTCTTAAGAAGATAGAGGGTTGTGACCCACAGCGTAAGAGGCTGGGCTATCCATCACTTGCCTTCAAACATTAAGTGATAGTAACCCTGGACTAGTCTTCCAGTTTGACATGATCCTTGATACTTCTTGTACCTCAGACTAATTCTCCTGATTCTTACAGCTAAATCAATTCAACGTGATTTTAATATATATATATTGTGGATTTAAAAACCTACCACAATGTACTTTATTTTTGGATTCTGAGACAAAGTCTTACTACAAATCCCAGGCTGTCATTAAATTTGCACCAATCCTCTTGACCTCAGTCTTGTTTTGTTTTGTTTTGTTTTTTAAGACAGGTTCTCACTGTGTAGCCCTGGTGGCTGGCCCAGGACTCACCAAGAGCTACCTGTCTCGTCAATTGTATGCTGGGATTATGGGTCTGCAGCACCATGCTTCTTTAGCCTCCCACAGTACACTTTAAACAGTAGTTGCTTATCTACTCACCTATCAAGATTATTTTTCCCTTATGCTAGTAGCTGCACAGTTCAGACTTACATGAATAGTACTGAAGGAAAGTTAGCCAAAATAATGGGAAACAGTTTATATTACTTATTATTATGATATATAAAGAAACATGTATATGCACAAAGATATATATGTACACATATACAAATTTTAAAACACACTTGTCTCTCCTTATCTGCAGCTTCCATCATCTGCAGATTCATCCGGCTGTGGCCTGACAATACTTGGAAAATGTGTGTAGTGGTGTAGTTCTTATATTATCTCATCATGCAGAAGCTTCAAGCAGATCATAAATTCAAGGCTAACTTGGTTTATATTCAAGACTGTGTCTTTTGCATCTGCACTGAACATACAGTTTTTCTTGAAGCTGGCCTGCAACCAATATAGTATAGCAACAACTATCCAACCTTAATGCCTTATTAATAAGGTAATGCAGAGAAGATTGAAAGTATACAAGGCCCTGGGACACACCCAGAATGATAATGAAGGATGACTATTTTAAATCATAGTCTGTTTCTGTGAGTAGGTATTTAGATATTGGGCAGTCTGGTTTAATTTTTTGTGTGTGGTGCCGAGACTAAAACACATGGTGGTGGTTTATACTGTAATCTAAGTCTTATGCTCTTTAGAATAGTTCTCTAAACACTACATCACAGCACATATCATATCTTTGTGACTATAATTACAATATTAAGCTTTATTTTCTTAGTATGGTAGTGTAGGCCTTTAATCCAACAGGCAGGTGGATCTCTGTGAGATTTAGATCTACAAAGTGAGTTCCAAGACAGCCAAGGGCTATGTAGGAAAATCCTGTCTCGAAAACAAATGGAGGAGAGAAGAAAGAAATAGAATTATTTGAAGAAAAGGACTATAATGTAGGGTGTGTGGTGTAAGCCTGTAATTCCAGCATTGTCCAGCATTCATTAGCATTTGGTAAGGACCCAAGGAATTTTAAGATAAATTTTACTAAGGAAAAACATAATTTAAAAGAAAAAATATTTTTGAGACATAGCTTTGTATATGACTTAGATTTCAAACTCAGGATCCTCCTACTTTGGTTTCCTCTGTGTGACTATTGGGATTAGAGGTACACCTGATAAGAACCAAGCAAACAATTGCCTTAAGTAGGTAATCAGGGAGGTTTTGGCTCCTTCTGTTGCTACTAGTGCCATCTAGTGGGGAAAGAGACTTGG